CTCTTCTCCCTCTCTCTCTTCCTACTCCTCTTCCTAATCCTCTTCTCCCTTCCTCCTCCGAACGCTCTCCCAGGAACCCTCTGCAGCTGCGGGGCGGCGGTGCCGGCCTCAGCGGCGGCCCTGGTGGCGGGTCGCTTCTCCTCCATCCTGCGTCATCCTCCTCCATCTTCTTCCTCCGGTTATCGTTTTCCTTCTCCTCAGTCCTGCTTCTTTTGCCCCTCGCCTTCCCTCCTCATTCCCTCCTCTTTCATGCCGCTGCTGGTTTTCCTCATCTCTCCTCCTCCTTTTCCTCTTTCTCCTTTTCCTCTTGGGCCTCCTTCATTTCCTCATTTTCTCTTCATTCTCCTCCTCCTCCTCTTCCTCCTCCTCCTCCTTCTTCTCCTTCTCCTCCAATCCTTTTCCTTCATAAGGAAATTTTCCCTGTCGCACCCCGAGGCGAGTTTTTAGAGCGGGCCGGGCGTGTCGCCAGAGACTTCCTCACCATGTATGATCCTGCATCGCAGAATTTGACAACTGTTTCACAGATGGAGGGCGGGTCGTTTTCAAAATGCGGTTCTCGCTTTTGCGCCGCGCTCATGTGTTGTGGAAGTTTGCAAGTACTTCACGAATTGAGGGCGGGTGGTTTTCAAAATGAGGCTCCCGCTGTAGCGCCGCTCATATTCGTTTAAACCAATCGAGTTCCACGGATTGAGGGCGGGCCGTTTTCAAAATAGCGCTCCCGCCTTAGCGCCGCGCAAATGCGTTTAAATAAATGGCAAGAGTTTCACGGATTGCAGGCGGCTGGTTATAAATATGTGGTTCTTGCCTTGACGCCGCGCACATTCTTTAACAATTTCCAGAAGTTGTGCGGATGAAGGTCGCCCCTCAGGCTGCCCGCGAACGCCCCCGGGCGCGAGGCCCATAGGTCCAGCGGTAGTCATGCGGAGCGCCGCGGTTGCTTCCAGCGCCCCGTTCGGCGCGTTCGCCGATCTGGAGTTCAAGAGATTGGGGAGGAGGAGACGCGCCTTGCAGGTGGAAATTCGGAGGCGGACCGCGTCATCTCTTGGGCGGCCTGTGCTCTGCAGCATGTGGACCGCTGGCGTGGCCGACCTCGGAAGTTGTTCAAGACTGGGGCCCTCCGCGCGGGCGCTCGGAGCCGCTGCGTCCTGGGGCCCTCCCCATTTTGGGGGGGGCGAGGCCTCCAGGGCCTCGGCTGCGGCGCGTCCTGCGTGCTGGTCCTCCCGGGCGCGCTCTCCAGCGGTCTCTCGGCATCTCGCCGCCGCCGCCGTCGCGGCCCGGCTCTTCGCTCGCGGAGGGGACCCCAGCTGCAGTCTGCTGCGGGTGAAAGGGGCATGGCCTGCCCCCGGGCGTCCCGTCGGGGGGTCGATCGGCCTGCCGACCGGCTCTGGCCTGCGGTTTGTGGAGGGTGGGCCCCCGGTTCCCCCGCCACGCGGGGCGCCCAGCTCTTCTCGTCTGCGCCGCGTGGGCGCCAAGGGTAGCAGAGCTGCTTCGCAGGGGTCATCTGCCCCCAGGTAGGCCGGACCTCGGCGGAGCGGGGCTGGAAGGCGGGGGCGATTCCATGGTTTTCCGTGGCGTTCACCACGTGCCCACCAGGATGCTTTTCTATTGTGCTGCGTCGCGGCCAGCAGCTGCTGGCCTTATGCGAGCCTTCGACAGGCTCGGCACCTTCTCAGCGGAGTGCGTCAGCGCTGCGGGGCAGCGGGGGAAGCAATGAAGCATTGTGTGTTGGAAGAGCATGTTTTATTCATTGATCGGCATTAATGGCACGCGCGATTCCGATCATCTCCGTCCCAGAGCCATAATGAGTTCAGTGAGTCACGACAGTGCATTTTGGCTTCGAGGCTGACCTACCCTGGCTGCCGCTGGAAACCGCATCACTCCGCCGTCCTCGTTGGCGTTTGGATGGGGCGTCCTGGCTTAGTGGCGGCGCCGTCTCTGGAGATGCCTGGGGTCTTCGCGGGCCTGGATCAAGGCGGGCGCAAGATTCGGGGTTGCGGCCTCGATTGGGCAATTATCTTGTTTGAATTCAAATTTGCTGGTGAAGAATCTCTGGCATGATCGTTTCGATTGAGCCCCTCGTGAAACGTTGGCCATCGCAGCGCAGAGCCGCCCGAGGGCAGACACTTTTCCCTTATATTTGCTATTCGTGCTCACCTCGGGCGACATCGCGGCGCATTTGAACCAGCCCCGGTGGTGCGGCCCACGTCATTGTATCTTTCAGAGAAATGCGTGGGGCTTCACGGAAGCGGAGCACTTCCTGAAGTTATGCGTTTTTTTCCCCAACCATCTTGCGGTGTTGGGTCCTCGTTTTGAAGAAACGGTCCCCGCGCCTCCTCCTCCTCCTCTCGCGCCCCCCCCCAGTGGGGTGCCACGTGCGTCTGCCACACCCGGTGCAGCGCTTCGCGGCCCCATGGGGAGCTCCACGTGAGGCCCCAGTGGGGGGTACCACATGCGTCTGCCACACCCAGCACAGCGTTTCGTGGCCCCACAGGGAGCTCCACGTAAATCCCCAGTGGGGGGTATCACGTGCGCCCACCACACCCAGTACAGCGTTTCGTGGCCCCGTAGGGAGGTCCACGTAAGGCCCCAGCGGGGGTACCACATGCGTCCGCCACACCCAGTACAGCGTTTCGTGGCCCCGTAGGGAGCTCCACGTTAGGCCCCAGTGGGGGTACCACATGCGTCCGCCACGCCCAGCACAGCGCCTCGTGGCCCCATAGGGAGCCCCACCCAAGGCCCCAGTGGGGGTGGCCGCATGCGTCCGCCACACCCAGTACAGCGCCTCGTGGCCCCATAGGGAGCTCCGCGTAAGGCCCCAGTGGGGGTGGCCACATGCGTCCGCCACACCCTGTACAGCGCGTCGTGGCCACAGGGACCGTCTGCAGGCGTCCCGGAAACTCAATTTGGCATTTTCACCCACCCAGTACAGCGCTTCGTGGCCCCATAGGGAGCTCCACCGAAGCCCCCAGTGGGACCGCCCGCATGCGTCCCGCACGCCCAATTTGACATTTTCACCAACACAGTACAGCGTCTCGTGGCCCCAATAGGGAGCTCCACCGAAGGCCCCAGTGGGACCGCCCACATGCGTCCCACACCCGAGTTGGCAGATTCACCCGCCCAGTACAGCGTTTCGTGGCTCCATAGGGAGCTCCACCGAAGCCCCCAATGTGACCGTCCGCATGCGCCCCGGAAGCCCAATTTAGCATTTTCACCCACCCAGTCAGTACAGCGCTTCGTGGCCCCATAGGGAGCTCCACGTTAGGCCCCAGTGGGACCGTTCGCGTGCGTCCTGGAAGCACAATTTGGCATTTTCGCAAACCCAGTGCAGCGTGTCGTCCCACACACCCTGTTTGGCACTTTCACCCACCCAGTACAGCGCTTCGTGGCCCCATAGGGAGCTCCACCGACGGCCCCTGTGCTACCGCCCGCATGCGTTCCCCCCCACCCATTGCAGCGCTTCGTGGCCCCATAGGGAGCTCCACCGAAGAAGATATTCACAATTGCGGTACCCACAACAGCATATGTCTGGGTCTTTCGCCCGGATAAGTTTGAAAGGGGATGTGCATTCTTATTATTCGTATTACTAGTTTTGTATGTTTCAGTCGTTGTAGTAGTAGCAGTAGTAGTAGCAGTAGTAGTAGTAGTAGTAGTAGTAGTAGTAGTGGTAGTAGTAGTAGTAATAGTAGTAGTAGTAGTAGTAGTAGTAGTAGTGGTAGTAGTAGTAGTAGTAGTAGTAGTACTACTACTACTTACTACTACTTACTATTACTAGTAGTAGTAGTAGTAGTAGTAGTAGTCGTAGTAATAGTCAGTTAGTAGTAGTAGTCGTAGTAGTAGTAGTATAGTAGTGATAGTAGTAGTGTAGTAGTAGTAGTTGTCGCTTGTAGTGGTAGTGTAGTAGTACGAGTTAGTAGTAGTTAGTAGTAGTAGTAGTAGTAGTATTAGTAGTACTAGGTCGTCGTCGGTATTCGTAGTGGAGTAGTAGTAGTAGTTAGTAGTAGTAGTAGTAGTAGTAGTAGTTAGTAGTAGTCGTCGTAGTAGTCGTAGTAGTAGGAGTAGTAGTAGTAGTAGTAGTGGTAGTAGTAGTAGTAAGCCGTAGAGTCGTAGTATAGTAGTAGTTAGTAGTAGCCAGTATAGTAGTAGTAGTACTAGTAAATTGCGGTCGTAGTCGTAGTGGCAGTCGTAGTGGTCGTCGCTATCGTAGTCTGAGTAGTAGAAGTAGTGGTAGTAGTAGTCTAGTAGTAGTAGTAGTAGTAGTAGTAGTAGTAGTAGCTAGTAGTAGTAGTCGTAGTGGTAGTAGTAGTGGTAAGCAGTAGTAGTCGTAGTAAGTAGTCGTTGTCGTCGTCGTCGTAGTAGTAGTAGTAGGATAGTAGTAGTAGTAGTAGTAGGGTAGTAGTAGTCATAGTAGTAGTAGTAGTAGTAGTAGTAGTAGTAGTCATAGTAGTAGTAGTAGTAGTAGTAGCAGCAGCAGCAGCAGTAGTAGTAGTAGTAGTAGTAGTAGTAGACGTAGTCGTAGTCGTCGTCGTCGTAGTAGTAGTAGTAGTAGTAGTAGTAGTAGTCGTCGTAGTCGTCGTATTAGTAACAGTATTATTATGATTGTTATTATTATTAGTAGTAGTGGTAGTAGTAGTAGTAGTAGTAGTAGTAGTAGTAGTAGTAGTCGTAGTAGTCGTAGTAGCCGTAGTAATAGTAGTAGTCGTAGTAGTAGTAGCAGTAGTAGTAGTTGTTGTAGTAGTGGTAGTACTAGCAGTAGTCGTAGTAGTCGTAGTAGTAGTAGTAGTAGTAGTAGTAGTAGTAGTAGTAGTAGCAACAGTGGCAACAGTAGTAGAAGAAAGTAGAAAGTCATTTGAGGCAGGTCCTGGACATGTCAAGTTTGTCGGTTCTATGGATTTGCTGACCTCCCAGGCGCTGCGTCGGTTGCCCGATGTGAGGTGGCAGGTTCGCGACAGTTGTTCCCGAAGCACAGCTGGCCGAGTCGGCAGGCGGCTTCCACGGCCTCGGGCGGTGCCTTGTGATGTTGTTCGCCGGCAGCGGTTGTACTCCGCTGGCCGTGCTCCTGTCGAAAACCAAAACCCGCTTCGGAGTCAGATATGTAAGCGGACATGCCAAGTTGTTCGAGGCAAGCTGTGGGAATTCAATCACGAGACATGTTGTGAGGACCCCCAATGCGGGACGGCCCTGCCGCGGCCAATCGTCACCCTTCCTTCCAACGTGTTCATTCTTCGCACACGCTCAGGTTTCTGCGGTAACGGCTGTGGGCGGTATTGTATAGACTGCCCAACACCTGGCGGAAATGCGCCCTTCGATTATGGTTCCACACCGACATCCCGCCAATCCGGGGTTGAGCGTGTTGTCCCGCCTCTTCAGAGTGCTGCCGACGACGAGTGGGACGGCTTTCCTTGCGGGAGATTCATCTTGATTGGGGGTCCTTAGGAAAAGCTCACCAGAACAAGGTCAAAAGATCCTCCACCTCTTCGGCCTCCTCCGCCCCCCCTTTCTCTCAACTCCTCCTCGTCCGCCCTCTCCTCCTCCTCCTCCTCCTCCTCCTTCTCCTCCTCCTCCTCCTCCTCCTCCTCCTGTCCTCCTATTCCTCCTCGTCCGCCTCCGGTCTTCCTCCTTCTCCTCTTCCGCGTCCTCCTCCCCCTCATCCTCCATCTCGTTTTCTTCTTCTTATTCTTATGATTATTCCTCCTCCTCCTCCTCTTCCTTCTCCTCCTCCTCTTATCCCTCCTCCTCCTCTTCCTCTTCTTCCGCCTCGTTCCTCATCTCCGCTTAGTTTCCTGGCCTACCTCCTCCTCCCCCTCCTCCTACTCCTTTCTCCTCCTCCTCCCCCTCCTCCTTCTTCCTCCTCCCTCCTCCTCTCTCGGCCTCCTCCCTCCTCCTCGTCCTCCTCCTCTTCCTCCTCCTCCTCCTCCTCCTTCTCCTCCTCCTCCTCCTCCCTCCTCCTCCTGTCTCCCTCCTCCCCTCCGTCCTCCTCCTCCTCCTCCTCCTCCTCCTCCTCCTCCTCCTCCTCCTCCTCCTCCTCCTCCTCCTCCTCCTCCTCCTCCTCCCCTTCCCCTCCCCACCCTCGTCCGTCCACTCTTTCCTCCACTGCCCCCTGGGTTCGGATCGTGCTGCGGGGGTGCGTTCCGGCAGTGCCTGGGCTTCGCGCTGTTCCTCGCGGTGCTGTACGCGCTGCTGGCGCTGGTCGCCAGGAAACGGGTCGCCAAGCCTCTACTCATTCCTACTTCTCCTTCTCCTCCTTCTTCTATTCCTGCTGCTTCTCCTCCTCCTATTCCTGCTGCTGCTCCTCCTCCTCCTCCACCTCCTCCTCCTCCTCGCCCGTCTCCTCATCATTCTCCTGCCCTCCTCCCTTCCTCGGTCCATCCACCTCCCCTTCTCCCCTCCCGCTCCACATGCTCGTTCTTGTCGTCTTTTGGTACGTTACACCGATGTTAATCGAAACAGGAGGAGGAGGAGGAGGAGGAGGAGGAGGAGGAGGAGGAGGAG